TACAAGTGTATACAAATAACAGTATTACGAGCTAAGTAGATTTGGCGAGGTCCGTCTGACTGTCCGTTGGCGTGTATATATGATCCAGTGTCCCAGTTTTTGAGCTATAGAACTGAAATTTTTCTCGCGTCCTTTTCTCACCAAGAAGCTGCTCATTAGTCGGAACGGCCGTTATCGGACCACTATAGCATATAGCTGCCATACAAACTGAACGATCGGAATAAACTGTTTGTATTGAAATCTTTTCATTTGGTAAGATATCACGAAATTTGTCTCGGATTATTACCATTTTTGTATGTTATAGCTACGACACAGTCGATGTTAACGTTTTTCTAGTTTTCTACTTAAACCACCTGAGTAACATTAAGATATTTAGTTTCACTCCATAATCGAAAATGTTAAATAGGTAAACACATGTACGCAAAAAAGTTAAAATGAATTATTTTTTTCTGTTTTGCTTATTTCCTTCCTGTGCAGAACAAATTAATGAACCGTTTGTGCTAATTAAGTCAGCGGCTACAACACAACGCTAGTTCATTATTTTCCAATTATTAAAGCAATTACATTAATTAACGGACAATACATACGCAAATATTTACAATCTGAGAATGAATGTGACTCGCACTTGTATTGGGGCATATATAGTACATATACATATACATAAATAGGATATGTTTGTGCAGCAGGCATAAGGGAGTAAATGCACATGCACTCAATAAAAAAGTAAATATGTATTCATACACATGTATATAAGGTAAATATAAATAAAAAGCGTAAATGCAGAATAATAAATTTATGGCAGCAAACAGCAACACATATATACACCGACAATACTACGACTTTTGGTATATTTGCGGCATTATTCTCTTGCTGAGAGGTTTTGGGTATATTCCTAGCACCTAGCCTAGCATCGTAGCACGCTTTAATGCAAATAAAAATTTTATTCGGTATTTTTATATTCTTAAAACATTGTTTTAGTGCTCTCACTCTCTCTAGCTGCTTTTGCGCTATCGCATTTGTCTATAACGAGGCCTCAACAAATTATGAATTGGCGGTTTCTTGGATTTTCGATTGTTGTATTTTGGCAATTGAGATTTTGCTTAAACATTTTAGTTTTTAAATTTTTTTTTTTGTTGTTTTTTATTTATTGTGTACAGGATTGTTGGCATTTATATTTCTACTTGCTTATTTTGCTAGATTTTTATGGCACTTATTTATGCGAACTCTAATTTATTAGCGGCAGCCCATGAACATCTTGATTTATTCACGTGCGCAGAATTGCAATTTCATTTTTGTTTTTATTTTTAATTTTTAAAATTCAATTTTTCAATTTTCGTATTTTCTTAGTTTTCTACGAGTGTTTGCAGATTTTATTTGCATAATTTATAGATCTTGCGATCTATAATCTATAATTTTTATTCACATTTATTTCGCATGAAGAGCAAAGGTAGTTCTTGATTGTTTGAAATATTGTGTCCAATCATTAAATCCGTTTCAATTGAAAAGTTTGCTCATTCGATTTAATTCGATTTCTATGTGGAATAATTTACTAGACTCATAAAAAAATAATACTTGCAGTGATACATGAGAAAACGGTAATATTAGCTTTATTTTAGGTTACTTTTGAATTTGTTTAGTAGCTATCATGGTAATAATTAAAATAATCAGCGAAACCCTTAATTGGAGTAACGTTGGAAAATCATAGATATTTATAACTAAACTCTTACGAAGAACTTGAGAAACATCTTTGATCGGAATATATCTTGATAGTTCAATACTGAGGAGGATTGAGGAGGTTGCCTTATATTGCTACAAAGCAGTGATTGGCTTCTCCAAATTGCAACTACTTTCAGGAAATGACACAACCCCAATACAGATGTGAAACTAGCGTGGAAGTATCCAGAACGGACCGGGATTTATTATTCGGTCAAAGTCTTTCAACTGCGCAGAACTCTGCCGCTACAACAACAACAACAGCAGTGTGGAAATGTACAAATCATTAGCAGCGGCATCAAGCTACTTCCATATTAGACTTGGTTGGATGAATAACAACAGTAATAAAGACGATGAGGCTCTAAAGAAGGGCACACTTAGCAAAATACAGCTTAGGAGTCCGTTCATGCCCTCTTGTATTCCGGTGCTGGATCTAGAGACCTTGAGTGTGCTTAGAAAGCGTTAGTTAACGGCTAGCAAATATGCGCTTGCGAAAGCTTTCTGCATCAAATTAGAACGTAAGAGTTCTATGAATTACTTGCTCTTAGCAAGGTCTTAATAATGCGAGTTCAAACTAGATACTGGCCTTTTGGCACCCATGGAAGAAGTTAAGGTGAAAAGAACTAAATATTTTTTCCGCCTTCTTTAAACTAAGGTTGCAGCTCATTGGTTGTCATACCTTCTACAAACCAGGCGAATTGGTTGGAAGTGAAACTGAATTCATCGATAAATTTGTGGCAGGTTCAAGATGCATTGTCGACATGTGATGGTCATATTGATCCATTCTTTGGAACTTTAGTGATAACAACGAATCGCCACTAACGTTTAACGTTTACTTCATGAATTCCAGGCTATTTACCTAACTTATCTTTCATTTTCCGATTGAAGCTATTTTACCCCGCATCATTCACGGAATTTCTATGACAATATCAGTATCTAGGTGCTAATTAGTTCCAAGTAAGTGGTGGAGCAACTCAAAGAGAACCCAAAATTATCGCTTCATTGGAACAAACTTTTATTCAGAGATTAACAAAATTAGGATTTTGTAAAATATTCGACTCAAAACTGAAAATTCGGCAGTAAAATTGGTAAATTCGAACATTTATATATATTCCAAGATTTAACTATGAGCATCTTGGCGATTTTTGTTGAACTCTCTTACCTTACAAACTACCATACCGATTTTTGTTGGTGGGCAACACTTTTTCATAAAAACATAGAGCTATTCATGTACCCAAAGTCATTTCAAAAGAATAGATCTCTTCTATTAATATTCGCAACTTTATATTGGTCTGCATGTGAGATTTCTGAACAAAATTAGTTGAGAATCTTACATTAATGACATTAGTTTACAGGCTCTTCTAGTACTTTTATATCCAGTATACTTATTTCGATCTGCCCAGCTAACTTTGGATTGGAAGTCCCACATCTTAGCCCTTTCAAAATCGTTTATGAAGCCTTTTCTATATAATAATCGAGTTCTTTGAAAAATAAATATTTAAAAGGTTCTTTACAATTTAAAAATTACAGAAAGAGCAATATGTAGTAACTCCAAATATTGCAAAAAATATAAACAAAGTAAGCCTTTTTATGCGCAAAGCTCTTCATATGTATGTATATGCCAGCACGCAAGTGGCACAAAAAATTGCACAAATTATGCATTCGCATGATTTTCAGCTTCTTATGGCTCTCTTTTCATTTCATAGGCGGCTTTTACAAAAATTAAAATCTGCCCATGCAATGTTTTCTTTATTTTTTTATTTGTTTGTCTTTTGCGTTATTCGCGCTTTCCAACCTTCTGGCATCGACTGAGTGAATGATAACATGCAAACTAGGGATTTCATGTTTTTCGCTTGTTTTGCACTTGAGTTCACCAAAAACAAAATATACAGCACGCTTTACAACAAAACTAACGATTGCGGATTTTGCAAGCTTTTGTCCCGCGCAGAAAAAAATCAATAATTGAAAATATGAATTATATGTGGATTTCAAGGACACGCCGCAAGGCTTAGTTGGTTTTCGCCATAAATCCTTCAGAGCCGAATGCCAGGCATTTTTAATTTTTGGCAACGGCTTTTGGCGCAAATTATTTTCGCAAATCATTTAATTCAACAGGAATGCTGAAATGTTCGCTCGTTTTTGATGTTGGTTAATAATGTAAAGGTTGAGTACGAAAAAGTTAATCATACGCTCAGGAGAATGGCAATGTACGAATTTTTATTGAGAAATTTTTAGTTTTTAGAAACAAAATTTCTGTTTTGTTAAAGCTTTAAATTATTTTCATACATTCATTTTAGAAAAAAAAAAAAAAAACAAAAACAATACAAGGGTGGAGTAGGAAAGTGTTACTCATACGCCATGGTGACTTATACGAAAAATAAATAATTCAATAAAGCAACCTTTTTTTCGTGGAAATCATCATATTTTTCAACTTTTTTCACACATATATTATATATATTGAAATTAGAGTTATGTATATAACTGTTTTTGTGAAATCAAGTTAAGCTTAGGTATAAGCATTAGCTTATATTTTTCTATAAAATAGACTTGCATTAAGTTCAATTTGAAAATAGGAAAAAACGTTAACTTTGGCTCCACCGTAGCTATAATATCCTCAAATTCAACATTTCTTACAACATTAAATGGTATAAGAAGATTTTTATCAAGATTTTGTTTAAGAAGGTTGTATGGCAGCTATGCGCTAAACTGCTCCGATCTGATGAATATATTAGGATATTATAGCGTTGCTTTCAACAAAAATGCGTGCCAAATTTCGTAAAGATAGACTGTCAAATAAAAAAGTTTTCCATACATGAGCTTAATTTTGATAGTCCAGTTGTACTATATGTTATAAATGTACGATCTAAACAATTTCATACAAAATTGTAGCATCGGTAAAAACATTTCGTCAAATTATACAAAAAATACAACAAAATTACAAAAAGGTTGAGTAAAGAAATGTTGCTTATACGCCATGTTGAAAAATATGAATATTTAAAAAAAAAATTTTAGTATTATTAGAGGGGATATATATTGATGCCCTAATAATAACATATTAATATAAAAAACATTAAATTAACGTATTAAACATTATTTTTACTTGAAAACACTCAAGAAAACATCTAAAACTAAACTCCACAGAAAAGCAATAACACAAAACACTCACCTTAAAATTTCAGCAAATAATGACCTTGGTCTTAATGTACATCAAACTGTCTTAGTCCAAGCTATAAATTGACTTGCCTCTACTCTTTTTACTTTCATATGCCATGCAAATACAAATAAAGGCGTCATCAATCGAGGCGATTCGTTTCGACGTCGCCGCTCGCGCAGCAACAGTTTGGCACCGGTGAGCCCCATACACCCGCGTCTGGGTGGCGGTGGCGGCATAGGCGGCAGTGTTGGTGGTGGCATTAATGGCGATTACACGGGCGCACAGGATGAACCGCAACAACAACAGCCGGTCGAAGTGTTTCGCGTAGAAATGCTCGGTGCATCTGGCGTTGGCAAACAGGCGTTGATCCAGCAATTTCGAACGTCAGACTGCATTAATGCATACGATGGACCAGGTGAGTGCATGGTGCTATAAAAAATTAAAGAAAAAATATAGTTTAAGAAATTTGAATTGCAATTTAAGTAAAATGGGCGAATACTATAGAAACTGGTTCAAATATCTAAAGTGTTGAGGATTGTTAAGGGATAAGGTTAAATTTTACTGAATAATAACCGATGTATAACCATTTTATAATTGAAACTTTGGTTTCAGTGTGACTGTATAATAACCAATATATACCCACTGTATAACCAATTCCCACGGCAGCCGGTTCTACGTACCGGAATTGGCTCGGTTTATATCCGACCAAGGGCTGTTTTTTCGGCGATCTAACCCCGTTTAGATCGGTCAGTGTTAATTTGTGTGTGTGGTCACTGGAGCAACGCCTTGCAGCAAAGTTGCTCTGTATCCTCCTGACTCGTACTGGCATTGAATCCAACCCGGGCCCGGAGGAATTTTTCTGCTGCGTTTGCGCGAAAAGGCTCCATAAAAAGTCAGTCAGGTGCAACACATGCAATGGATGGAGCCATCTTAAGACCTGCTCAGGCCTTAAGACCCATAGGGAGTGGGCCACGCGTTACGTGATCTCATGTTGCCTACGCAATACTGCGACGCTAGCCTCTACGGCTGTGCATTCTGAACATAGTTCGCGCGCTGTGCCGCCAACTCGAGTGGCCAACAGAAGAACTCCACGGTCCCCCAGAGCTCCACTAGGTAACATAGCTCCCACTCTGACTTCGTCAATTCCACAAGGTGATCGCAGCAGCTACCGCTCGCTTCATACCAGCTGGACGAATAGCGGAAATCCGCCCCAACTTCCCAGCCGAAGCAGCCGTTTCAGCTAATGAGCGCGTGTGAGTAAGCTTCGTGCTACTGTCAAAGCTTTGTCTAACCCGAAGAGTCACGACGACCGAGTTGAAGTTGAACTCAATGGTCATGGCTCTTCGGACCCGAAGAAGTGTGCGAGCTATTTTAGCCGGCAGTTTACACTGCACCCTTCGGTAGACAAAGCCAAACGATGTGTTAACCGACGGCTGCGCAAAATTCCAAACGACGGCGCGCCATTTACTTTCACCGATGAGGAGGTTCAGGGTGTCATCAACAAAGCAAAATCTTCCAAATCTATTGGTCCTGATGGAATCAACATGCTAATGCTAAAGCATCTATGCTCGACAGGAGTAAGATATCTCACAAAGGTCCTCAACCTGTCGCTGACCACTCTTCAAATGCCCGATGTGTGGAAAGTCGGAGGAGTGGTCCCACTACTGAAACCTGGGAAACCCGCCAACAAAGSGGAATCTTATCGTCCGATAACTCTCCTCTCCCCAGTAGAGAAGACACTTGAAACCTTGTTACTCCCGACCTTCACTCATCACCTGAGCCTAGCCAGCCACCAGCATGGATTCCGTAAAATACACAGTACCACCACAGCACTTAGCGTTATAAACGCTCAGATAGTTCGTGGCCTCAAGCAGAAACCACCCTGTGAGAGAACGATCCTCGTAGCGTTGGACCTGTCAAAAGCTTTTGACACGGTCAACCACACAACGCTTCTGTAGGACATTGAGAAAACCACGCTTCATCCAGGGCTCAAGAGGTGGACCATGAACTATCTGAACGGTCGTCAGTCATCCGTACTATTTCGAGGTGCAACATCTAAACTGGGAAGAATTAAACAGGGGGTTCCGCAGGGTGGTGTCCTCTCCCCGCTACTGTTTAACTTCTACATCTCGCAACTCCTACAATCACCAGAGGGGGTTTCCATAACCTCGTACGCTGTACTGTACGATATTGACGTCGGGCAATAGAATCGATGGCATGTGTTCGAAGGTAAACAACTACCTCTCCGACCTTTCTCRTTTYCTCACTGCACGGAACCTCCAACTTTCCCCTACCAAATCCACAGCGACCATATTCACRAACTGGACGAAGGAGTATAGACTGGAACTTAATATTGCAGTCGACGGCGTCAAAATTCCGACTGTCAATAACCCTAAGGTTTTAGGTGTCACCTTCGACAGTCTATGCTCCTTCTCTCCACATACGACCGCGATTATCACCAAAGTACAGAGTCGCAACAAAATCCTCAAATCGCTAGCCGGCACTTGGGGAAAGACAAAGAAGCATTGTTGGCAACTTAAAAGGCAATCGGCCGGCCAGTCCTTAACTATGCAGCACTCATATGGTCGCCTGGATGCAGTGGCACGCAGATGAGGAAACTACAGACCTGCCAGAATACAGCACTCCGGACCATGACGGGATGCGTCTTGATGTCTCCCATCGAACACCTACATAGTGAGACGCTTATGCTCTCAGTTAAGGAGCATAATGAACTCCTCTCCAAGCAGTTCCAGCTAGGATGTTTTCATAGAAATCATCAGCCATCTGCTTGAAGCGGAACCGCCTCCTTTGAGCATCAAGAGGTCATTACTTGATCACGTGGACGACATCGAACAATACGCCGACAGGACTTCGGACGCAACAAACTTACGACAGTCACTGACCGCCATTCACAGTGAAGCCATCAACACCTTCACCGACTCCCTCCACGTGAATGGCGTACTTGGAGTGAAATCACCACCCATAGCAGACGAAAAGCTCGAGTTGCCGCGAGAAACGCGAGTGACCCTTGTGCAACTTCGTTCTGGATATTGTAGCAGGTTARACTCCTACTTATCCAGAATAAACCCTGACATACCCAACGTATGTCCTGCATGCAACGCCCAACCAACCCCACCCATCTAACACCCTTTTCCCTTTGGTCCGACCCCGTCGAAAAACACGTTTCCTGATCCTCCCGTTAGATGACATCGACGAAAACACTGATAACCCTCACCATCCCAACGGGGACTGAAACCGTTAAAACAACAACAACAACTGTATAACCAATATATAACCAACTTATAACCAAAACTCAAATTTTGCTTTAATATGAGTGGTTTCTGATATAACGTTTTTACGTCGACTGTAAGCTTATGAAAAGTGATGTTAGGTTATTTTGCATTTTAGGTGCCATACATATGTATGTACATAAGTAACTAGAATAATAAAGAAGAAGAAGAAACCAAGCTAAAATATTCTTTATTTTACATTAAAAAGCTTTTCATGCAAGAACTTCATTTTGAGCGTGCAGTTTGTTTGGCAGCTATATGCTATAATGGTCCGATCTGAACAATTTTTTTCTTAGAAAATAATCCCTGCTGACTTTCATAAACGAGTTCTTCATACAAAAACTAGATTTTGATTGGTAGTTTGTATGTAAGTATATATTCCGATATCGGCTTTTCCGTGCCGGAATAAAATTAGAAGGTGAAATCAAACTAAGAATTGTATCCTTGTCGAAACTAAGCCCTAATAGAACCAATGAAGAAGCACTGAGGAGCCACAACCAGAAAATTCATTGCAGACATGCATAGGACATAACAAAATTCATTTGTCGAAAGTGCAGCGCACTATTATTTATATGTATATATCCGCATATACGGCCAAAATATGGTATCAATAGCTTAAAATATCAATCATTTTCGAAATAATATTAAATTTAGCATTTTTGAAATGCTAAAAGCACTCACAATATTTAAAAAGCAAGCAACAAGCACAAAAATCCGCAAAACCGCAATGAAAATTTCATTTCAATTGGATTCAATTAAAACTAAACAAAATTTTAATTGCCACAAATTCTAATGCCACATGAAATACCGTTTTGTATGTAGCTATGAATTTGTGAGCCGATATAAATCAAAAATAATTTCACTTAACACCTGATGCAACCGCAACCAAACAAATGCATATACCGTTATGAAAATGTATATACCGTGAGCAGCTGTGACTGCTAATACCGCTTAAACCCACCACGCACCAGCCGCCAGCCACATAACGCGCGCCGCACATAATTGCCACACACAGTGTGCTGAGGATATTCTCACTGCAACTGGAAATTGAATCAAAAATCAGACATACACACACTCAAAATACATATACATGATGGCGCATTTGAAGGTTGGCAATGAAAAATAATTTGATTAAATTGTCACTCATACGCCCGGGTGTGGCTGACTGCCGCTGGTTGTGGTCATTGCATTATCAACGCACCGCTGTTAAGCATATTTAATTTTAATACAGTATAATTGCTGGCGTAGCTATGCATGTGTATGAGTGTGTGGCTGTATATAACTGTGCGCCTGTATATAAGTGTTTGTGTGTGTGTGTGTGAATTTTTTTTTGCTTGCTGAGCCAGTGACGTGTGGTCAACACAACTCTTGCAGTGGTTTATGGACGAACGACTCGTTTTCAGCTGCAGAGATTGCCTGTCAGGCACACGCAAACACATACAGACATACATATACATATATATAAACATGCATGCATGTGGCATATAARAGGCATCTGCTGTTATTTTCATGCAAATTATCCACCACAGTAATCAATTTATCAATTACTCAACCACAAGATTTATGTGCACAAATTGGCGTGCTGCTGTGGCGACATACATACAAACGGGTATATATAGTAAATATATAAGAGCAGTGACCACAAATGAAGAGTAGCTGTCTGAGCAGTCAATTTTCAGGCAATTTACTCATTTTTTCATATCGGAAAGTTGCTTTTGTTCGTCTTCCTACCATTATTGTTATTGTTGCTGTATTTCTTATAAAAAAAAACATTAATTTTCGCTGTGTAAACAAATCAGGGCATGTCACTCACTACTTTCAAGGTCATACGACTTTGTCACACCTTTTGGCACTTTGGACTTCTTCCTCTGTTCTGATAAAAAAAAAAGTTCTTTCTAGTTCTAACAAAAATGTCTCTGTCTTTTCTTTTCTCTTGTAATTTTTCTATTTTCATACCACACAATTTTTTATTTTATTTTCCTTTGCAGAATGCGATGTTGCGGAGCAGAATATTTCTATAATTCTAAATGGCATCGAATCGGAATTGAAGTTCTCTACGGGACAACAGGATAACAAGGTGAGTGCAGTGGTGCAGTGGTGCAGGACGCCATTGTAATAAGCTAATTGAGTGTAATATTGTGAGCGCTGAAAGCGTTTGTATAAAGAAAAGGTGTAGAAATTGCAAGAACAAGCAGTTTCGTGATTGCTTTCATTTGACTGTCGAATGAGTTCAGTGTTTTGCTGAATTGACGCTAATTGATTGCGATTCGGTGAATTCGATAGTGATTGGAAAACGTTTGCAAAGAGAGGGTAGAATTAGAGGGTATTGAGAGTGTGTGTGGAAGCTGGTGCAAGCATAATATTATTTGCTAAAAGAAAATTTTTTAACAGGTTATATATTAAATTAACGACATGTTGCTGCAGAGATCAATCGTTTTGTTCACGATCGAGTTAGATATAGGGTTATATATATGTATAAAAAAAAAGTGCGGAGAAATCGGACTTTAAATTTCATTTAAGTCTTTCACTTTCCTTTATACAAATCAAGCACCTAAGTATACTATAAGGATTAAATTTGCACTAGTTCAGTTTTTGATATAGGATATCCCAAGTTTAAAAATTTCCAAAATCGGAACGTAACTATTCAACTCTCTAGATACCAGTGTCAATAGCTGCTTTTTACCTAAGCGATCCAAAATGTAAACAGTGGTTATTAACTTTGCTAAAATTATACAATGGTTGTGAACTTAGCTAAATGTAAAGCAAAGTTGTAAGCTTTGCTAAATGCTAACAAAAAGATCATTAAACTCATAAAAGGTAAACAAGGAGGACGTTCGAGTAAAATGCCATTAGATTTTTCTAAAACCAATTACACTGAGTAAATAAATTCCAAGAAATAGACGGAGAATATCCTCGAATATGGCCATTTGATATTTATGAATATGGAAAAGTCTATTTTTTTTTTTTTTTTGAAACTCAGAAGTGGGTTTAACCCCTTTGTTTACAACAATTGAATTCAGATAAGCTTTGAAACATACTGATTAATTAATTTTAAATATTTTCTAACATTTTTTCCAAAATTTTATTTGAAGTCTCATGTCTGAAATTCTGAATAGGTATGTGTTAAATATATCATACTTATATTTATAAATGGAAATATAATATTAGATAGCGACTTATTATACTGAAAGTGCTTCAATTTTATCCACTTCGACAGTGTCATAAAATGAAGGTGTAAGTTAAATTTAATGCACACGAATTCGCAAAAAAAAACAGATAAAAAAACAGATCCAGACTCTCCAAAGAGCAGAAGTAACCACTAAAAAAACAACCGGCTTAAAACAGAGTTTTATTAAGAGTTTCAAGCACTTTATGCTCGTGAACCCTGACAGTAATGTTATAAAAAAAATTTCCCAAGCACACCACCAGAATCCTCAAGCCAAGCACTACTTAATGTAGATTTCCTTATCAGTTTTTAAACTAAGTTTCTCAAGCTTATCACACAAAAGCTAATCAAAATTCAAAGTAGTTTCTTGTTAGGTCATTAAGTTAGCTCCCATTTATCTAAATATTTTACAATTAGACCCCATTTCCCGGTGAAGTGTAGAACAATCTATCTGTCTGAAATTGATAAGAGACCTATTAATTTTTACAAAGTGAGAGAAGTCCAACACCACCCATGCATTCAGATCACATTTCATCAGCTGTTGGCTACATCGAATTCAAAATAAACATAGTTTGTGCCTTTGAAATTACTCTTCTATAACTACTTTGGGCAATGCAAATCTGAAACCACATAGATAAATGAAAAAGGGAAGAAATCTCGCACAAACCTGAAAATCACAATTGCATGCGAGTAACCTGTTGACCGAATTTGCGAATTTTGTCATTTTCAAATGGCTTTGCACTTGTCCCTCCAAAAATGACACACCTGTCAAAATTATTGGCCCTTCAAACCAAATTTCCATTTGCCGTTTATCGCAATGTGTCCACTCGCTTTTCACTGGCGGGCATACAGAAGCACATATGCTAATCACAAAAGCCAAAGCAAACAGCAATCGACAACAAAAGCAATAGGAGCAACCAAAGCACAAGCAGCACGCATCAATGTTGACAGGCGAGGATTAGCAAATGTATGTGTATGTGTGTGTGTGTGTCAAAACAGATGCTACTGCACATATTGCCAAACCAGAGAAACAAAGTAGCAAGCCCCACAGCGCTTTGGTGGTCGCAAATATTTGGCAAAATGCGTTTGGTAACTCGCGGTGTATACATTTGATGGGCGAAAGGGTGAAGTATGTGCTTTTGCGCTTTGTAATGGTCGTGGTTTATCATGCTCGCGTACCCAGTTATGTGTGTAACATCAAGTTGAGTTGAAGCTCACTTGCGCATTAACTGTAAACTAGCAGTGAATAATGAGTAGCTTATGTTCAAAAAGAGCTATTACAAAATACGAGGCATAATTGTTCGGGTTTGAAAGTGTTAAAAATTTTTAAAAATTATTAAATAAATAACTTGTTCCTAGCTTCAAAATATGTCTCAGTTTGGGCGATGAACTCTTCATTTCATTAAAATTTCTTATCAGCGAGCATACTTTTGAGATCTGAGAACAGGAAGTAGTCGCTGGTAGTCAGATCTGGTGGATGTGAGAGCAATTCGAAGCCCAAATCATGGATTTTGGCCTTGACACCGTTTTAACTGACTTCGGATATGGTTTGTTGTCTTGGTGAAATAGCACTTTTTTTCTTGAAATGCGGAGGTTTTCGGTGAATTCGTCTTTCAAACTGTCCAATAATTCAAGGCAGTCAACCATAGTTATTCGCTGCGCATTCCAAAATACAGACGCCACAACCTTGCCAGCCGACTGTTGCGTTTTTCCACCCTTTAGAGTGGGTTCGTCGTATCCGGTCCAGTCGGATAACTCTCAGTTGAACTTCAGAGTAAACTAATGGAGCCATATTTCATCAATGGTCACATACCGTCGAAAACACCACATCTTCAATGACTGCTTCGAATCATCATTTTCTCGTTGTTTTTGGTCAACATTGCATAGACCTTTCTCATATCCAAATATTCGTGAATAATACGGTGTACGATATATATTTAGTTGATATATTTAGAGCGGCGGATATATCAAACAATTTAACTTTAGGGTTCCTAAATTATTTTGTAGAATATTTTGATGTTTTCGCCCTCTTTTGAGCATCCAATGCGTCAACTATTTACGGTGTTCATTTCACCACGTCTGAATATGGTATACTAATTCTTGATTGTTGATATTCTAGGAGCAGTGTTCGGAAACTAGTCATCAAACTATATTTCTCTTTCAAAAAGCTATATTTCATCTACACGCGAAAGTACTTTCTATCAATTTTTATGATGAATTTTTATAATGATTTAATCCACAAACTGGTGTTCCGACTGCTGTAGAAGTTATACACGCGCTTTAGGTTAGGGCTAACTGAAAATCATATCGATTTCAAGTTGATCGATCAGGTCAGACGTTTTCAATTGACCTGTTCATAGTTGTGTTCATCCAATGGTTGTTTGTATCACTTGACTAAGCCATTTCAAGATTTTCCTGTTGAAACCAAATATTGTCCAAGTCCATATCATTCGATTCGGGCCAAAAATATTCGGTTATCATTGAGCGGTAGCGATTTCTATTCACAGTACGGTACATCACGGAAGAAGTACGCCCCAATAGCTTTTTGGGGCGCAATGGTGACTCATGGGGGATGTGTGGATTGCTGCCTGAATGACGTTTATTTTGCTTATTGACGAAACCAATCAACCAAAAATGAGCTTCCTCGCTGAAGATGATTTTCGATGAAAATACGGATTATTTTCAAGTTGTTGCTCAGCCCAATTCATGAACATACGACGATTCTGGTGGCCAAGGGGCTTCAGTTCTTACGTCAAGTTGGTCTTGCAGAATTCGCCACAACGACGACATAGAGATGACCAACGTTTCAAAACGACGAAAAACTGATTTAGGTCTACCTCAATTGATACTTTAGCTTCAGCAATATTCTCAACACTCTCGGCACCTATTTGTCTTACTGTCACGGGAACATTTTCTACTGTGCCTGTGAATTCAAATTTTTCCACTAGTTGCTCAATTGTTGATTGGACAGGAGGATTATGACGACAATAAATTGGACGTAGCGCGCTCAAAGTTCAGCCCACTGACTATGAGTTTCGATAGTAAATTTTATTAATTTCGAACGTTATTGGATCGTATATTTTTCCGTGATAAAATGGCAGACCTTATTGAAGAGAGATTAAAAATCTTGATGAAATTTATTACATACAAGGGGTATTCCAAAGTAAACAGGAGTTTTTGAATCTAGTGCCTCCTGGTGGCGCCATCTATATGTCTACTGATGCGTTAGAATCTGATATCTTTATCGATTGTCCATTGAAAGTTTCATAACATTTTATGGATCGCAAGTGAAGTTATTGCGTTTTAAGTGTCAGTATGTTTGTGTTATCGGTGCGAAAATGGGCTTCGAACAAAGAGCCAACATTAAATTTTGTTTTAAAATTGGTAAAACTTTTACCGAAACGTTTCAAATGATAAAAAAACTTTATGGCTTTGATTGCCTATCCCGTAGCAGAGTGCATGAGTGGTTTCAACGTTTTCAAAGTTGTCGTGAGGACATAAATGACGATCAACATGTGGGCCTATCAAAATCCGTGAACACCGGAAATCGAATCGAAACTGTGCGCGAATTCTTCAAAAATCAGCCGAAATCATCATTGAAATTCATGGAAATGGAATTGAACATCTCCAAATCATCGATTTGTTTGTTCCACACAAATGAACTGACGACCAAAAATTGCTCGAAATTCAACATTCGAGAGACGATTATTTGAATAAAAATCACATTTTAACCATCATGATTTTGCACCGTGCAAAAAGCTGTATTGAAGCAGAAGGAGACTATGTTGAATAAAATAAATTGATTTTGCCGAAAAAAAACATTTGTTCTGCTTTTTTTTTAAGTGCTGTTTACTGTGGAACACGTCTTGTACATATGTTTCATCCCAGTATTCCTCAGTATTGCAGACGCCGCGCCCACAAACCGCCATTAAACGTTTAAAGTGCCAAACGCAAATATAACTGTAATTTGGTAAATTGAATCGCAGTAACGAGGGGAAATATTTCATAATTTTTTGAAGTGGGCGTGGACTCTGAAGCTAACTTAACTAAACTCGCCGAGTAGAAGTTTGTAAAATTAGGCCAAATCGGTTGAAGTTAAAGAAATTGTGCTTAAAATTATCGGTAACAAAGAGATAGGAGATGATCTCTACATCACTTTTGGATACATTCTACACATTTTGGTAAATATTTTAGGTATGAAGCATGTCAATGCTCAATTCTTACCAAAAGACCTCGTTATCTTACAAAAGCGATGTATGTAGAATTGAGATCGCAAAAGATATGCTTGAGCTGCCTACCTTCAGCAAATGCACTATTACTGATGACCAGAGATGGGTTTCTGAATATGACATTAAAACTGCGACAAACTGGCGAATAGCGATGCAAAAATTAATTTGTTGAAAGCACGGAAGGTCTTCTCAGGACAAGTAACTAAAAAGTGGATGAAAATTTTAATTTTTGGATCATTTTTGCGTTAGCTCAAAGGCGTCGTTTTTTTATGGCAACTACTTTTTTGATCACCGAATTTTTCTTGCTAAAAATAACATATGAAATGTAAAATTAAATAAAAACTGCAACATTCATCAATTTGAAGCGCAATAAATACGAAAATAGCACCAATAAAAGCACATTAAGCACAATTCCTCACAAAAGCACTTCAGATTACTCAAGCCATTCGTCAAATGGGGAAAAAGTGAAATCACAGCAAGCACAAATCAATTGAATATAACGCCAGAAGGCAGACGATATATTGTCGTACTTAAACCGTTATTTGTCTCAGACATGGCCGCAGACACATCGAATTGATTGCGCTGAAACTGCAAATCACGTTTACCTCTGATCGGCCAATGGTGGCATTAATAATGCAGACGGCACGTTGAGTGCGACCGTGTTGGCCCAATGCCAAATATGAAAATACGACGTAGTAGAAAAATATATATACTACATACTTTTATATAAGCATAGATCAGCCGCAAAAGCGAACAAAAACAGACGAACGATGACGTCAGCTGAAATATTTTTGAGACAATAAGTGAAGTGACGCTACACAAAATTCAAAACAATGACAAGCAGAGCAAATTTCGACAATGCCACACTCGGCAAATAAAGCTATTCAGCGGAATATTCAGCGAAATGTGAAAAATAGCACAGGGGTACGATTCGTTAGCATTTTAGCGACGTAGCTGGCAACACGTTGCCGCGAAGGGGCGGTCAAGTGTTAGAGGTTAGCAAACAAAAAGCAGAATATTTTATATTTTTCAAAAAATGCAAACGTGAGTTGGAAATTTAAGCGGCACACAGGCACAAATTTAGACATAAATATTTATTATACAATTTTACAAAGGAAGTTGGTGGCACGAAATGCTTTCAAGCGCATGACAAAAGGTCTGCATAGGCCTACAAATAAGCTTTGCACAGGTGGCAACGTTGGAAATGCGTGTGTTGCTATTATTTAAGGTTCGCTCGGTCATAAATTAAGAGTTTCATGCCATATTTTTTGTTCACTTCTTTCCTTTTTTAGGAATAGTTTTTGTAAGCTTACCAAATCATATACATAGGCCTGGCCATGACTTTAAAAATTTACATAGCTCAATTTTTTATAATAGCATAATGGTAAAAAGAGTGTGTGTGCCTTAAAACAATATTGTTTTCAAATACACTCATGTTTGGCAAAAAATATTATAAACACAATAATAATAATGGTTTACAAGTGATGCTTAATCGAAGTCAGAATAGTAATACTCCCTAAAAGAGCTGCAAACTATAACTATCTAAGCCAATTAAAAACAAAGTATTCAGTAATGTGTCTAAATAATCAGAATATCTAAAAAAAAAACAAAAAGGTGCATGTCTTTGATAGCATAACCGTTTGGCGCCTGGATGTAGGCAACATTTTACTTGACTTAATAAATTAACATTTTTTATAAATCTTTCTTTTTAATAGAATTGACAAAGGATGAGCTGGCAAACTGATTTCAAACTATTTAAGGAACTTAAAGGCTTTCTTTACTAACTAAAACTACACATTTTAAAATGAAGATGATAGTTGGGAAGATACTACAATAATTTAGAAACTTCGTCAAAAAAATAGCATCACTGCTTAGCTCATAAAATGAAATGACTGAGTATTTATTCCTCTTAGAGATGTAATATAAAGTATGTATGTTTCTAAGTAATATATTTAAGCTTCCAACCTCACATAACGGGACTGTTCTCTCTTACGAACAACTCAGGAAACATATAATTCGGTATTGTGGAAGACAGACAAAAATATAGGTCACTTCACGAATTCACTATCTGTACAAATTTGGCTCACGCTGGTCCAATTAAACTGCGCGCCCATTGAATCAATACTACTTTTTTCATAAATCTGTCCAATCTGTTGTTATATTCGTGTGAAACCCCTAACTATTTTCCCAATTTGTGTAACAGATTTGCAATTTTTGCTACATCTAGCGACATTTTGAAATGCAACAGCTGTTTAAGTTTTTTCCGCTTCGCTTATATTCATTTTTCTTACATATCGATAAATAATGTTTACAGTAGTAATAATATATGTAAAGAGTTTTTTAATAGAGAACTACAAAGTAGGACAGCAACGACGCCATATATTTCCCACTTTTCAGTAAAGCTTGCCATTTCATCATGGAGAGATATACGATCGAACAACGATTCGAAATTATTAAAATTTACTATCGAAATTCGGAAATGAGCGCTACTTCCAATTTATTGTCGTCATAATTCGCCTATCAGATCACCAATTGAGCGTCTAGCGGAAAAATTTTAATCCATACACACATTACAAAATGTCGTTGTGACAAACTGACGTAAGAACTGAAGCCTCTTGACCACCAGAATCGTCGTATGTTTATGAATTGAGCTGAGCAACAACTTGAAAATGATCAGGGTTTTCATCAAAAAATCATCACACGTACTCCACGAGTCACCATTGCGAAAAAATTACGGTTTGGTGCGGTTTATGGGCCGGCGACGTCATTGGGCTGTACTTCTTCCGTGATGATCAAGACCGGCTCGTTACTGGGAATGGAAATCACTACCGCTCAATGATAACCGAATATTTTTGGTCCGGATTAGATGATATGGACTTGGATAATATGTGGTAAATCGATATATTGAAAACCAAGTCTGGTGAACGTGTTATCTCACGAAATGGCCCAGTCAATTGGCCGCTTTTTTAGGCTTGAAAAACGTCGGAAATTGGATTAAGCGTCTGCCCGCATAGCGTCGAAAATACTTTCGCAGGAATAAAGAATCTCATTGATATTCAAAACCGTTTTATTTAGAAAAAAACAATTTGTAGCACTTTTATTGAAAAACACGAAATAATACTCACCGTAGTCATATATATTATACATATATCAACTTCTATAAATCCACCTATATCTAATACTATTTGATATATTGCAATAATTCTTTTTATAATTTTCAGGATGAATTGGAAAAGGCTGATGCTTTTCTCGTAATCTACTCTTGCATTGACAAGGAGTCATTCACACGCGCCAAACATATACTATCACGACTGCAGGATATGGATTTGATACGCACACGTCCGATCATTTTGGTGGCGAACAAAATTGATTTGGCACGTTCGCGTGCGGTTTCCTCACAAGGTAAGCGAAACTGAGAGTTGCAAATTTAAATGCAGAATGCAAGTGCAGATGAGAAAAACATAGCAAAGGAAGCTTAAAGACCTCAGTCAATTTTTATTGGAGGAAAGTGAGACTTAAAAGAATTTTAGTGCCTTGAACAGCACAGCTTGTTATTTTCGGGGATTAAGCACAGATTTTTGTTTAGTATGCAATAAATTTCATAAACGAAATTTTAATAAAACTTTTTGGTTTTTTGGAAGTTTTACGGAACCAAAAATATTAAAATTATAATTTCATAACTATTTTCTCAGCAACCAAAGTATTTTTGTAGAAAACTCGTTCTTCAAGTGATGGCAATAATTTTGCACGCGTTGCCAACTTTTGTAAATTAAAGGTAATTCATCGTGTGCTTCAATGAGCTTTCTATTGCATAGTAGCATACTTTGAGGCGCTGCAAAATATGTATACAAGGGTGTAGCTAATTGGTTGGCTTTACGCGCACTTGAAAGCATGTTAATTAGAAGACTTGCGCCGCGTAACGGTACATTTGAGCTGAGTGTTTAATTAAAGCAAAGGCTTACGAAATCAAGTAAGGCGTTAAGAACCGCAAGTGTAATGCGGAATTTTCATTCTCTAATACAGGTGTGGTACTAAAGCAATTTGATTTTTCAGTTTTTTATGTTTTATTGAGGAAAATTGAGTTTTTGAAGTACAGTTTTCATTGAAAATTTCTAAGAAAACAAACTTGCATTGCGCTTTTTAAGCAAAACTTTGCTATAAAAATTTCTTATAAAGCAAAATTCCTATGGACCGCCCATACATTGATGTATTTGCTTTAATGGCAGTTACCTCTAGCACTTAAGTTCACATTGAACCACAAAGTTTGACTGTCAACTATAGAAAACTACTAAAAAAATCTGTTAAACAAGACAAACTTCTGGCATGCCGTCTTGTCGAGTCGAAATAGCTGCAGTAGTGCAAGGAATGTCAGAATGAAGAAAGAAAGTAGATAGACAAAAGAAGAGCGAAAAGTTTGCGCAAGCAGCATTAGAAATGTTGCTTTGGGAGAATGCATTTAAAGCAAAGTTTTTCAATTTTTTCTTCTTGATACTCCTAACAATGTCTAATGTACAAATGCATGTCTACACACTTATTGGTTTTCTCTTTAATTTTATCTCACTTCCCTCTGTCTATTACCATTCACAGATGGCAAATGCGTCGCATGTACTTTTGGCGCCAAATTCATTGAAGTCTCGGCGGGCATCAATCATAATTGCGACGACTTATTGGCTGGCACTTTGACACAAATTCGTCTCAAAAAGGATCAAAACTTATTGCATGTAAGTTGTAGCATTAAAGTGTCGAATTTGTGTAGTCACACGTCTATAGGCGATGAAGAATATTAGAATTAGTGCGTATGTGTGTGTGTGTTTTAGAAAAATTAGCAAAAAAAAAAAAACAAATATTGAAGAAAATAAAATTTAAGAAATATATATGACGCCACAAAATTCCGCAAAGTGTCGTACGTGTTTATACAAAAATAAATATTTCAAATTGTATTTCCCAAAATTATTCAAAATTCCATTATATTTTAACTGCCTGTCTATCTGGCGTGACAAGCAGTTAGGCCCAGAGAATAATTGGCGTTCACAATTGTGTAGCTTAATACACATTAACACAGACATAACCAAAACTGTTGCATAATTCATATAAAAAACTTCATATTCGAAATAATTAACGCTTTATATTCTTCTTGTTCTTCTACTTTATTCATGCTTTCTATAAATGCTATTAATACGATCATCATTTCATCCATATTTGCTGAAATCACAAATTTTCTGAAACCTGTTATTGTCCTCACTAATGCTTTCATTATTCATAATTTAATTACCATTACTTTACGATTACATTTGCCATTACCGTTAATATTACCATTAACATTACAAATAAAAATTATATACCAACTATCAATATCATTACTACTATTATTTTCAAAATTAAATTAAAAATTACATCAACATTACCAATACGATTACAAATACAAATATGCTGAAATCACAAATTTTCTGAAACCTGTTATTGTCCTCACTAATGCTTTCATTATTCATAATTTAATTACCATTACTTTTACGATTACATTTACCATTACCGTTAATATTACCATTAACATTACAAATAAAATTTACATACCAACTATCAATATCATTACTACTATTACCTTTTAATTAAATTATAAATTACATTAACATTGCCAATACGATTACAAATGCCATTACCATTACCATATGAACACGATTTCTACTATAAAATCATTTATGAAATTATTTACACAATAAATTTCATTTTAACTGTAATTTCAATTACTTAAAATTACTATTATTAATGTAATTATCAATGTAATTACTATTTGTAAAACATAATAACATTAATAATATAAATAAAATTATATTTTACCAATACGGTTATTATTTATTAAATTATAAATTAACATAATATTTTTATTTTTATTTAAAATCCACCATTATTACTTTTCCATTACCACCTTTATTATTATTACTACTAATTTTTATATTTCAATTACAATTCTGGTAATCATTACATTTATAAATATATTTGCCGTAATCATTGCCATCATCACATCTAACTAATGTTCCGTAACCATTATATAAAATTTACTATAATCAATACAATTCCAACACCATTACCATAACATAACTACTACTATTTTCTTTTTCATACCTATTAATATTGCGATTAAATTACTATCCTCATTACAAATACAACTACCATTATATTGGTCATTAACATTTCCCATATTACTCTCTACAATTACCACCTGTTCATTTGTGATTTGAGAAAACTCTGCCTCTCCGACTTAACTCCTGATGTAAACACCATTATAACCACCGCTGTTCTGAATTACCCCTACCAAATTGAATTGGCTTGTTGTTGTTACCCCAAAAATCTCGCCCTAAACCCGACACTATTATTTTATAATAAAAACCACCATCTCCTTTGAACAGAATCCAGATGGTACTTCACGTACTGGTTCTAAGAAATCCAAAGACAAGCATAAAGATAAAGACAGTAATAAAATTAAAGAAAAAGAAAAGGTTATAGACAAGGCGCTAGAGCACAATGGCGCTGATTGTGTAAATGAAAAAAATTCTGAAAATTTGGTGAGTAAACAAAAATTCAATTAATTCAACAGCTCAATATAGGAAACATTTTATAGCATAAGCGTGTTTAACCCCTTCCTTCAGCCCAACTGTAAATAGTATACCGTATAATATCTTGTTGTAAGGGAATTTTTGCTACGAGACATTTTTTTTTTTGCCTAGAAACGAATGTAAATTTGAGAAAACGATGTTTTTATATTCGCTTAGAAAAAGTATGTACATACCTATATATATATATATATGTAGTGGATATACACCATGTATTTATCGGTAAAAACTTATGCATGATTGTAACCTTAATCTCTATTTTCTTTAATTTTTTACACAAATTTTTTTATCTATAACGGGATGGGGATATACATCACAAAGAAAAAGGCTCACATAATGATGATACTGCGATTTTAAGTGCATATGAAGAGAGTACTTGCCATTTTCTATTTACAATTTGGACTGTCTCATCCGATTTATGACAAACATTGCAAGAAATAACTCTTTTATAAAATGGACTATCTGCCTCACATTCTGTTTAAATGAGACCCTAAATTAAAGAAAATTATGTATAAGTACAATTTTGTCTAAATATATATATTTTTTACGAACGACACGAACTTTTCAGCCCATCTGGCAAAATTTATTTATTTATTTAAAATCATTCCGAAACCGATGTAGTCGGGATAAGAGTACCTTCTCTAACGAGCTCTTCGGCTTTAAAGTTTTCAGCGATTTCGCCGTGATCGGACACCAGACAGGTGTGTTAATCAGGTAACTTAATAAGATCAGTCAGACACTTCTAAACTATCTTTAAGCAGCAAAGAGAAAGCTCAAAGCTCTGCTGTGGGTATGGAAGTACCCTTGAAATAGGATCACACCTCGTAGCAATTAATTTAATTTAAGTAATGCTTTAAAAATGAGGGCAAACTCCTTACAAAATGCCTCCTGCACCAACCCCTTGAGTTTTATGGATAACTCATGAAAAAGATAACCTCAATGCTCTTCAGCGACTTCGCCCCATCGACATAAATATTAGCAGTAAGCACTGTGATGCAGTGATCTAAATGCAGTCGAAAATGAAAAGAATATCATAATCTGTCAGTGTGGACTCTTTCAAGCTCCACCCAGACGTTTACTCTAATCAGCTTCCCTGAGTCTTATAGCGCCCTTCTCAGCAATACACCTGCGAATATATCGACGGTGGTATGTAAAGAATAACATTCAGTGCATTTTCATGTTGTTAATAATACAAAACTGATGAGAATGAGAGTCGCTCTTTAAACACGTTCAAGCTACTTAGCGGATGTTTCTAGTCCTCGAAACACTTTTCATCACCACTTTTTAGGATGGCCTTCGGCTGCTGCAGTGAATTTTGTTTATCTCTTCGAACGATTGAAACGGATTCCATTCCAATGATTGTTGACTTCGTTGCATGCTAAACTCGTAAACCCATGTCTCATCGGCATGCTCCCCATAAATGTGGGATAGCAATTCGCACAATCAGCATGTCCAGAGAGACGTGTTTACAGTACTCTTTTTCGAAAAAAAAATCAGCTTTATCGGGACGAGTCGAGCAAGAACGAGGTCCATATCCGAAATATCAATCGAACGGGCTCCAACATTTGCAACGAAATTTTTTTAGATCGCGCTCATATTTGGCATAGTAATTAAGGACAGCAAAATACATTTTTTTAAATATCAATTACACGGGGAATTTAATAACAATTTCCGGGTGCTTTTCTGTCACAATGTATGTATGTACAGCCACAATGACTTTGTGATTCTTTCAATTAGAGGCTTCGCGATATTGAGTGATTTATTTATTGTTATAAAGAAACTTAATTCTTTTCATGAATAAAAGTTGTTGAAATAACTCAAAACAAATATATTTTGAGAGCTTTATATAGGTAGTCTTTTTACAAATGTTCATATTTTATAAATACTTATATTACTAAAATATACGTAATTATTGTTAAATATTGGACCCTCAATTTTACACACAGAATATCCACTTTTCACTTCCTTAAATATAATTACAACTAACTACAGTCATCTTTTATATAAACTAACTGTTATTTTAACCGTTTTTTGTCAATATTTAATGTTTATACGAATTCTTATTATACACGAGTATCTACATATGTATGCAAACTCTAATCTTACAATGCACTTTCAGGGCAATCGAGATGGTGCCTCCTCGCCGGCGCACTGGTATAAAAGCCGCAGCGTGGTATTGGCCAGCATGAAGGCGCGCCAAATGCTCACCTGGATACTGGGCAAAGAGGATTCGAAATTTAAAAATTGCGAGAATCTACAAGTGCTCTAAAAAGCAATGAAACGGAGCGGGTGAGAAGATCTTAACGAGATAAAAGTGAGAAGAAACAAAAAAGAGTAAACTTAATCAAAAACTGGACTGTCTGAGCAAAGTGAAGTATATGGGTACTATAACGGGGCACATGTGTGTATATAAAATGAATATGTGTAAATGTAGATAAAGCATTTCATATTGTTTATATACCTATATTACATAATATATGTATAAGGTTACTAAACTACATAAACTATATATGTAACTAGCTAGATGTATTGAACTTAACTACATATGTACAATATATATATATATTTATAGATGTGTATATAGAAATATATATTTACTCCGAATTTGTGAGTTTAGGTTAGGTGTGACATGAATCAATATTCTTATACCGAGATATATAGTTGTAGGTGTAGGTAACTCTGTATGTATTTGCTCCATAAATTTAAATGATGTTCTTTTTTCAAGCGATAAAATCAAATAAAAATTATATGGCAACAATTTTATAGTAGCTGAACGAAACAAGGCAAAGCAAAGCTCTTTCCTGACCAAAAGCTGGCGAGCATGCGCTTTAGCGTTCAAACCAATTACCTACAAAATGAAACGTAGCACTTTCAGAAATACCGGTTTCGTTTTAAATTTAACTAAACAATTGTTGAGAGAATTGTCCAATGTGTATTTGTAAAATATAGTAAACAAAATTATGTACATTAAAGTAGTTGAATATTTGTATAATTATTAACAAAAATATATATGTAAATTAAAAAAATATTATATATATAAATGTGTAAAAAAAAATATACCAAAAAATTATATTTGTGACTTTTAAAGCCTTTTGGTTATAAGTTTCAACTTTGCAGCACTCATTTCAAGCAAGCAACTAATCTATTCGAAATTCTTGTATAAAAACGAACTCTTGCTGCTGCACTGCCGCTAAACCGTTATTAAGGAATTTGACAGTATCAGCTGATTTGCTGACGTCAGATAGCAATTAAGCACAAGAAGTTTGTTGTAGATCTTTCTTCGTTATAAAAAAAAAAAACATTAGCAATTTGAAAATATCATTTTTAAGAAATCCAATCTTTCATACTAAACAGCTTCCTACGCTGAAAACCACATTTTATCACTAAAATATTTTCTGAAATTCAAAATGTTTACTCACTAGCTAACTTTTTTAGAAACTGGTACTCTCCAGCTAGCTACATTATGTCAAATCCACATTTTCTTATACAATCTCTTTTAGAATTCAAAATATCAAACATTCATTCATTGAAAACTCTTCTTCAATTTAAAACAATTCTTAATTTCGATTACTTAAAAAAATACTACTTAAGCATATTAATACAAAATCAAAAGTAATTAAGTAATTTAAGCTTTAAGTGAAATAACTGTATATAATAAAAGGAAATCATGAGCTCAGTAAAGCTTTACAAAAGGGAAGAAGTTTGAGTAATAATTAAAAGCATAATAATTTGGCAATGCAATTTTCTTCAAAGTGTACTTTGATTAGAAATATTTGTAGTTAATTTTTGATTTTGTATATTATATATCCATCAAAGCATTCTTCCCTTGCTTAGTTCTTAAGATTACTATTTTATAAATCAGATAACTAATATGCTAACTATAAGCAACTATATACCTATTATATACAGATATATTTCTGCCAAAGTGCCCATTTCGTAAATGAAAAAAATTCGTATTAAATAAAATTATTGAAGAAATACATATGTATGTACATGTATAGACTATACCTAATGTTTTTCTAAAAGTAAACTGTTAACAAAACTCTATTATATTTACATAGCTAAGTTACTAACCTACAAAAAAATTGAATATAGAAAACCATACACTTAGAATATCACTTTGTTTTGAAAGGAGAAAGGTGTCGGTGTATAGCCTTTTGTTATTGGCAATTTTTTGGTTTTTAAGAAAATTTTTATTTCTGTAATAATAATTTTTTCCGCATTTGCATTAGAATTTTATTTTAATTTTTTATCTTTTGTCTTCAAAAAGTAGGCAGAATTTTGCAAAGAAGGGTTAATACTATGGATGTCTCCGTAAAAGCTGGACCGCTCGAATTGAAATTTCGTGATATGTTTGTGAGATATTGGTCGAAGGAATAAGAATTTTCATAATAATTTCGACTTTTTAACACACCATGATACCAGACATAAAAAATGCTAATAATAAAATTTTTCGGGACGCAGTCATTTTCTTAAAAATCTATATTTTGACTAGCTCTTCGGGCAGTACTTGTCTTCAAATACTTTCGGTTTTTGAATGTGGAGCTTTCTGAAGATCCATTACGATACGAGGGGATCGAAAAATGTCGACATATGTATACCTTTGCCAAATTTTTGCCCATAATTTGATTCTTTCTATATCTCCCACACTTCGAACATACATATAATAAATATTTTCGAACATACTTTTCGCTTGATACTTCATCTATTGATCAATATGTGAGAAATATTAATGAAATTCCTAAATAATCCAATTTCTAATAATTGTGTAATCTCTTGCCTTAAGGGGCGAGTTTTCCAGAATTTTTTTTTCCGAAAAAACTGTCAAATTTATTGACCCAAAATTTGTACACATATTATGGTTGGTACTCTTAACTGTATTTTACGACTTAGTATTGGTAAAAATCTTTATTTGGAAAGGAACTATAGCTGATCTCCGAGAACTCCTCTCAAAACATACGTTTTGCATTGATCACTATATCTCCGAACTGAATCCTCTGAAATTAAAAAACCTAACAGATTTCGTTAAAGATGAATATTGTAAAGCAAGTCGAAGGAATAAGCAAAATAAAATTTTTTACCAAATGACGGTTTCTTGAAAAAAATCGATTGTTGAAAATATGTCAGCATTTAGTTGTTTATAAATATATATATATATATATATATATATTCTTGAATTGAATTTTAAGCAAAACTCTATTTGAACTGAAGAGACTTGAGTTTGAAACAACACTGATATTGTGATGTGTGGAGCACAATGCTCGCGACAGACTGCAGCAGCACGACAGTAAACTGAAAATGGCGTTCTGAATCCTACTACAAGAACGTTTGTGAGAGGGCAGCAACATAACAATGGCCGGCATGTACACAAATCAACTCAGTTGTCCATTTTGCATGTACACAATTTCATTGTGGCCATACTAATACCTTGCACTTCAATGAAATTTTAATATTTTGCTTAAAGTGAAATTTTTAAGTTTTGTTAGAGCTTTGAGTAATTTTACATTTTACATATTACTGGCATCACCACTCTACCTCATCTCTCTATCTTCCATTCTACTGACTACTCTACTGTCGTTGGCAAATATAGGATAAAATTGTAGTTAGCGAGAACGACAACTGTCGGCCTGCAGTCGTGTAGTCGTGCAGCTGTCAAAATAGGTCCGTCGATAAGAACGTGTATATTTTAATATTTGACAGATGTCGTTTGCAGTCTGTCGCGAGCATTGTATTCCACACATGACACGACATTCTTGGAAGCTATAATTCAATAACGAATAAGGGAGAGTGGGGAGAATAGAAAATAGTTATGGAAAGTATTGCCATATCAAAATATCAAACTTTTTTTCAACAATATACATATAATATATATAAAAAAATATTTATATGGATGAAATCACGTCGATACTTTCCCGAGTTTAATGTAAGGTTTTGCCGATATCTGAGGATGATTCTCAAGCTTTGAATCTTGCAAGTTGAAAGAGTATGAAATGTTCGGTTAGATCCGAACTAAGACCTTCATTATTTGTTTTTTATTTACTTATTTCATTGTACTTACTTGTTTATTTCACTGCTGTTGATTTTTTCTTTTATTTCATTTTATTTCTGCCATGTGAGAGTTTGAGTTTACAATACCACTTCAGTCAGAATAAGAGCTAAAAATATTAATAATTTAATTTGTATAATGAAACTTAATACATTTATTAAAATGTGTGTTTACTTAGTTTATAATAAAAAGATTATTTAAGACTCTGCATTATTTCACACTTATAAGTAAAAATCACTTAAAGAATTCTTCCAACTTCGCCAAAAAATTTCTTCGTATTTCAGCTTTTATATTAACAAATTTCTTATTATCAATATCAATATCAACAAAAACGTAAACAAACAAATATTTTTCTTTTTTTCTCATTTTATAAAGGCCGGTGCATTAAAATTTTCAAAAATAATTTGTATTCAAAACTAATTACTATTACGTTACACCATTTTTTCAACTCACTCACCCATTACTCATTCTACATTGGAAAATTGGGATGTTTACAAAAGAAAGCTGTATTTATAATACTTGTGTAAAAATCTATATAATATATATATATGTATTTGTCTTCCGTGCAAGTATTTATAAATTAACTGAAATGTTTTCTATACATATGTACGTGTGTTATTAAAAAGAGATACTAAATTAAAAATAAATACTAAAACAGTCGGAGAATAATGATTTTATAGTATTAAGTCAATAAGCAAAACTTTGCGAAATGAATTTATTGATGGGAAATGAAATGAAATATGAAGGGAAATTTCAGAAGAAAAATTGGCTGTCATGTTTTGTGAGCGACCAACTAGCCATGCAAAACATTCATAAATATTAACTGCTGTACATACATAAGTACATATTTAAAAGTAAACTACTAAATAATATACAAAAATATTTTGCAACACAAGAGAAACGAGCGAGAACAACAATAAATCAAGTGGAAGCAACAATAAACAAGTATTAATAGTAATTTTTCTGAATTGATGTATGTATGTATGTATGTATAATAATAATGAAAAACACCAATACAAATCAATAGCTACTAATTAACAGTAAAATGTTTACTCTTTTAAGTTGTCTTGTGTAATCAAAAGTATAAACAAAAATACAAATAAAAAAGAATTATGACTTGAAAGAATTTAAAAATAAACTAATTAAACATTAAATAAAATAAAGCGAAGCAAGTAAATGTTTAATTAAATTGCTGAATTAGAATATGGAACTAAAAATACCGGAAAACAAGCGTAAGTATATAAGAATATAGCGATTACAGCAAAATATTAACTTTAAGAGGGGCGAGGCAGAAAAAACGTTTTTTTTTTTTTTTTTTTGGGATTTTTTGCCAAAGAGGCATTTTATTTTATACATTAATGGAAACAATGTATTTAAACAGAATTTAATGTACTTTAACAATCAGCGGATTATTTAAAAAAAATATTGGATCAGCTAGCTCATGTAGACGATCTGCGAAGAGACGTCCAAAAAAAAGTGCTTGGCGGTGAGCAAGATATCTCTGGTCCAAATTATCTGAAAACCAAAAATATTTAGTTTTGTGATAAATAAATACAGATAATGATCAAAGGTCTAGTTAAAATTTTGATTTTTGACAAAATAGCGGCTGTTCAAAAAAAAATTCAGTTTTTCATGAAAATTTTTCACTTCAAAGTGGCTTAAAAATCGAAATTATTGTCCAAAACCTTATTGCTTCGATCATTACCTGAAAAATATATCTGAGTAAGTCGTGAAAAATTTCAAACCGATCGATTTAGCGGTTTGGGAGAAATTTTCCTCACTGACTCTGAAAACACGGTTTTGAGATAAACTCGTTTAAAGTTTTAATTACTGCGCCCTCAGCCTATACCTGACCTCGACCGTCCACCTTTTCAAATTTGTATCTCCGAAACTATTAGTCAGATGAACTGGAAATTTTCAGAGAATATTCTTGAATACATGTACATTCAAAAGATTAAAAAGCTCGATTTTTTGAAAATCACAAGTGGATATAGCCCCTTAACCTATTACTTTAAAAAAATATTACAACCAAATTTTTGAACACAAGATAAACAATATAGTTTGCCATTTTTCGAATATAACCCAGTACTATAAACAAATCTAATTTACCGCTGCTCTCTCCATAATATAATTTTCTTAAGTAACCAATCAAAGTTAAAAATTAAGAACATTAGCAACAAAAGCCTGATTAATTTTATTATATTGCAAATTTTTTTTCGAAAACCTAACATTCCGCTAATCACATTACATTAACAACATAGCGTCAGTGTTAATGACCAAGTGGGTACTAATTTTTTCAATGTAAGACAAAAGAGATAATTTTCATAGTTTACATATTACTATTTCTGACATACTATAATATGTATAGGCAATGGCAAAAATTAGTAAGACTTTGTTCATAAATTTGAAATTAAAAAGTAAGCACACCACGCTAAATCAGGCGAATACGGTAGTTGTGGCACAATATTGGTTGAAAATTCGACAAAAACTTCACGAAGAATCAATACAGTATGCATTATCTAGAGTTTTAGGGCATAATTCCGACCTCTTTTTACGAATAGCTGCATGCAAACTCAAATAGTATTCCTTGTTGAGAGTTTGGACGGTCGGAAGGATTTCACAGTCCAACACACCTCTATAATCGAGAAAAATGTCAACATAACCTTGATTTTTGACCTACTTTGTCGTGGTTTTTCCAACTTCGGCTCACCTTTACCACGATATTCAACCGATTGATCGTCTGTTTCCGGGCCGTAAGTATGGATCGAAGACTCATCGCCAGTAATAATACGTTTCATGACACCCTGGTAGTCGGAAAGTATTGTTTTAAAAAATTGTATAGAGCTCTAATTGAAAAACACTTTAAATGAACTTTTTTTCATTATCGACGCTGATCTAATTATTATAACTACAATTGCTTATCACAACTAAAACTGTACTAAATTAATCACGCTCAATCATCTAAAGCTATTTTTAATAAACGGCATGAATCATTTTGTAATACGTGATATTATGCATAGAACCCTTATTTATCAATGATCTACCATAAATTGATAATATTTTAAATAATATTTGTAAATAACAACTAATAATAGTGATTTCTCAGTAGTACTACGCGATTTGCTTAGCTACATTTTTAAATCGCGTGACTCTCGCGTTGCGCAGTGACGTTTTTGACAGTTGTGTGCTACTCGCACATGCTTATTACATAGTTATACACACGGTACACCTATTTGTCAAGTGATTCAAAACGAACACGGCGCGTAAAGTAAATGACTTGAGGGACTTACGCAGGCTGCACTAGTAAGGAAATGTATGAACATACCTGCATATATGTATGTACATATATGCGTGCACAGACTCGCAAGCGGCGAGCACTTCCACTCACCTTCACGAGTACGTTACGAAGCTGCGCATTGCACTCGCCGTTGTTGCACTGATTTTTTGGAATTTATTTGCAGCATTTTCCGGCTGCAACAACTCATTAAAAACACTTTCACACGCAATATTTAGTTACATTACGTTATGTACTTGAATTACAATATTTTGCACTATTCTATAAAATAATATTTGCAAAATTCTGTGTCAACGATTAATTGCGTCGAAAGGTGTGAAAACGAAAAGCTCAATGCCCGTTAATTGAACTAATTAATTTCGAACAAACAAAGCGTTGGTTTGGCCGCGATAATGCATTTTGGCGGCGCTGAAATTTTATTTTGCGTGCCGGATGCTCAACTTGGAAAGCGGAAAGGGTTATGTTTATGGGAAATACGTTGTGAGTTTATGTTAATTTTAAATAGATTGATTTTAACAAATTATAAAGGAATGAAAAAAAGAATTATGTATATTTGAAAATGTTTCACGGAAATTAAAAAAAAAAAAATACAAATATATATATTGACGGAAGGAGAAAAAATTAAGATTTTAATTAAAAAATTTCTTATAACTCTTAAAATAAAATCTAAAAACTTGATTTTTTTTGCAAATAAATTTTTTGCTAATGTGAAAAATAGCACTTTTTTACTAACCTAACATAACTTAGCTTAAAATTTAATATACAACAATTTATTATCGCGCCGGTGTAAATGATTAAAAGCCGCTGGAGCTGCGCAGTTTGTGAAAAAATAAATATACTTGTAGTATGTACTATGTATTGATGTACTTAGGTATGCAGGCAAAATATTTACATACGTTACACATAAAAATGCAATCGCTTTTGAATTTTATTTTTTGCGAAAAGCTTTGAAATTTTCACAACTTTCCCACTATAAAAGGCTGCGGCAACTTTCGTATTCCAACAAATCATAGTTAATTAGCCAAAAAGCAATACGAACGCTACGGGAGAATATCAACTTTATAGTCTCAAAAAGTATCTGCCCACCGACAAAAACAATAAAAACTAGCATGAAAAATTATAATGTGAGTTACTTTGAAAATTTCACTATATTCCTCGATTAACAGCAATTACATAACCTTTTTAACATACACTAATAACCTCGTTTATCGATTACGTCATTCTTTTCAGTGTCAAAACCTCTACTATATGATCGTGTGCGCTCTCATCGGACTGGCACATGCACGCCCTCTTTCCTATGATAATAGCGTTGAGAATCTCCGACCTACCGCAACTAAAACAACAGTAGAGCCCGACACGCTCGATACAAAACTACCGGAAGTGCAACAGCAAAGCATAGAGCCCGCTCTCGAAGCGCCAGCTCCTTTTGAGTTGAATGAACGTGGGCGTCGCGCTTTGTCCGAGGCGCAACTCAATGAGCCGGTCGATGTGGATTTCGATATGGAGCTGGCTGAAGTGAATCTATTTCGTCCACTCTTTCGTTATCGCGCCGAAGTGGCACGTAACGTAGGAAGAGCGCGAAGAGTTGGCTAATATCAATTGTTCTTCAAAAATACATATATTTTAAATTAGTTTAAGAAATTTTTATACCTCATTATTTGTTAGTGAAATAAAATATATTTAGTTAAGGAATATGTGACTGTTTTCTGTTTTCATGGAATGGCTTAAAAATGTCTTATTTTACAACTGTGAAAGGTGATATCTAAATATATAAAATATTTAAAATAATAAAAATAATTAAAATATTTAAAATATTTAAAATATTTTATATTCGAAAATAAGTTGCCACCACTGTTGTAAACAATGCAATAAAAAATGGTTTAATTACATTGGAATAAGTGTTCTTTTTTGTACGCCCAAAAGTTTTAATTAAATATAATTTTAAAAATTTTAATCGATATTTAGTTCCGAGTACACATTAAAAAATAATAATAATTTTAATCGTAAAGACGGCATCGGAATTGATTATTGCAAATTTAATTTTTAAATCAAAACTTTCGAATAAGTAAATTTGCTACTCTGGCTTCCATAATCTTTTGTATATTGAAGTAGGCGGAGAAAACATGTTGGCAAAAGTCACCCTTAAAATATCCCTTGCAAACCGGTTTTTGGCAAAAGATTCGAAAATGATACACCACCTTGCCGGTTTAAGGTTTTTATTTGGTACTAACTAATGTTCCATTTAATGGTTGGAATGTAGTTAAATTAAAGTACTAGGTGAGTTACCTGCAACCTTACAAGCGTGAATTATTTTCTTAAACGTTTTTAGAACAAAATTTAAAAATATTTCGGAAAAATTTCAAATTTCAAATTTCGAAAAAATTTCAATTTGTTCTTTATTCATGCGCATATAATTAGTACTTGAGTACTAAAACTGTTACTGTTCGAAAACACGTAAGCAACCCTGGACAATCAGCTGTACGCAATCCGGTTCGTTCGAGTTCGAATTCGCAAAACTAATCGACAGCAAGTTATTTATTTTGTGGTGCATTCTTTTCCAGAAAAACTGCAGCGTTAGTAAACAAGTCAATATTTTTCTACAGAATTGGCCACTGGACACAATTGCATACAAAATTTAGATTGTAAGTATTAAAGTTTGTGAAAATTTGATATTTTTCATCATTGCGCATTAGTTTGTGAGTGTAAAGACATTACCACATTTATAGATATATTTCTATTTCTTTGTGGTGTGATTCATTATTACGAAAATCGTAAAATAGAGTGTGATTATAAGGGGAATCCCGTATTAGTATATGTGTCAAAATAATCATGTTCATCATCATTGTTTTTCATTATAGGAAATAATGGCTGAGGAGGAATCGTTTGTAATTTTGGGCAGCTGTTCTCAACCAAATTCTTTGATTTCAGTGCATGAGAATGCAACAGCACAAGACGATAACAAAAATACGACAACAACACAAGTCAATCAACCAATATTAAATGATGAAAAATTTAACTCCATAACTACAGCAATAGCATCGGCCAGCAAACCTACACAGGCGTCCGATAGTAACTCCGGACAGTTTGTTGGACATGGAGTTTGGAAACGCAGCATTGACTCGGCAAAATCAATGGAAGCATCCACACAATCAGGAAGTTACGATGTATGGCAAAAGAGTAGCATAGTTGCCAAAGATAATGGTGAACTACAGTCTGATGATACAAGCGTAAAAGAAAGTACTAAGACCGGTGCCATACCAAAGACAAGCGATGTGGAGCAAAAAAGTGAAACTAACACAAAGGAGAGTTTAACAAACTCCATGGCAGTAAGTTATATAATGGGTCAGGTGCCAGCCGATGCCTTAAAGGTAATTGGTGTGTCAATTCGTTATTTTTAGAACGTAACAAAGTGTAAAATTTATCTTTAAGAACGCATAAGGTGCATTTCAAAAAATTTTGGTCACCAAAAAGAGCGTTAAAAGTAAAGCAAATATGAGATCCACAATATTAAATTAATAAAATTGTGTATAAATAATTATTGTTATGACATTTGTGTTTTTCAGGCCAGCATCCATTCACAATTTCCAAGTGTGTCTTTAGAAGCTTGCGAGGAGCTCACAACTGTTATGAGTGATTATCTCAAAATGAAAGGTATGGAAGATTATGATAAGCAAAATGAAAATAAAAATACTATTTCAACAAATGTGTTTCAGATGTGCTCATCCAAGTTAATAGCAAAATGAGTTCATGGCTAGAAATGAAAAAGCAAATGCAATCCAACGAAATGGAAAACCGTCAGAAATTGCAACAATGTCAAGAGCAAATAGCTGCAGTGAGTAATTCAGTCATTCATATGTGTATATGAGTTGATTGAGTTTTTCTTTGCAGTTACGTAATGAAAACTTAGATCTGAAACGTGAATTGGAGTCAAAAATCGAACAGATTCAGGTCCATGAAGCTATACGAAAGCAAGAACACGAGGAACTTGTAAAAAATATTTCCGAAAAGTCGGCGTTGATCGCTAATATGCGTACACAGATTGAAAAATTGGAATTACAACAACTTGTTAGTATAAATTTTCAGAAATATTCCGCTTTTAACTAACTAACTATACTGTGTGCTTACTTTTGCAGTCATCATTTGAGGTCGTTTCGAAGTTGGGAAAGAACGGTGAAAATTCAGAAAAGTCTGAATATGTTACACGACTAGAACATGAATGTGTAACTAAAAATTTTCAACGCAATATGTCACAACTACTGGCAGAGAAGCTGGAAATCAACGATATGGTTAGTATTTTAATTAAAATTTTAAATAATATAGAAATAAAATTAATTAAAATTTTATCTAAAAAATGTTAAACTAAACTTTAGCTAAAAATTCATATTTCCCACATGTCTTACTCTCACTAATATACAAAGATATTTTATTTCACTACAGCAAAAACAATATATCGACGAAATAAATTGTCTCAAAGTAAACCTTACCGTATCTGAGGAGTTAGTTAATCAACTACAATCCGATATAGCTTTGTTGAAAGCCAATGACAAAGAGAAAACTGCACAATTTGATGTTTACGCCAAACAACGCGCTGAAATGCGCGAAGAACTCGATGTGCTGCGCCAGCAAGTAGATGTCTACAGTCGCGACTTTCAATTGGAACGTACTGCACGCGAAGAGATGGCTGGCGAAAAGGCACAACTGCTGGACGATTTGCGTGCACTGCAACGCAAAAATCATGAACTAAGCGAATTAGTTGGTCAACTGGAGGAACGTCTAACTGCTTTAACACGGCAACGAGTCAGTCCACCAACAACAGCATCAAGAGTAAGTAGTTGCAATATTTGTACACAAATTAATTGTATAAAAACAAAACAAAAACTAGAATTATTATTTACAGAATATCGCTACGCTGACACCGCCAGCTCCAACTACACCACAACACATATGTCCAATATGCTCAATTACCTGTTCATCACTAACCACTTTGCAAGAGCATGCCAATCAGTGCATTGACCGTAATGTGCATACATAAATATATCTATTATATATTATTATTTCTGCTTATGATAACACTTATCGAAGAAACGTGGATAACTAAATATCTACTACTATATATTTATATATATGTGTATAAATTTAATTATAAATGAAAAAATATATGATTACAATGTTCATTCAAACTTACCAAATGAAATAGGTATGTTTTTTTTATTTTTGTTTGTTTTGATTGAAGCCTGTATTATATACTTTTCAAAGTGTGACAGGTACGCGATTTTTCGTTATAAACTAAATATATATTTACAAAACGCAATTTAATAGTAATTAAGTCCAAATGGGTCGGTATCCGATTATCCTACAATAAAAATACATTGTAATGTTAGCGTGACGGCTACAATTTACTAAGTATTGGCGGCGCTTCCAACGCCCATATGCGCTGCATTTCCTTATTAGCTACCAAATTACTAAGCACTTGTATATCTGAAAGAATAATTATATATAAATTATTGCAAAATTTCGCTTAAATAAAACCTGCTTACCATTGGTACGCGCATATTGTTCCAACCATGTACGTATCTGACAAATAGGCACGGCGGTGTTTAAATTGGGGTAAACCACATTTCCAACTTTTATATTTGACACACAGATACCCAGTATAGAGCCTTGTTCATCGAACATCGGACCACCGCTCTGGCCAGCCTGTACGCAACCATCCGACATAATAGCGCCCGGTGAGCATTTAATTATACGCCCTTGAAATATGGCTGGATTGAAATCATATTTCAAATTAAAGTTGACGAAATACGGAAATCCAGCATTATAAATTGTCTGACCCAATGACGGTTTAGCACCGGACAAGCGTACACAGTAACGCTCGGGAATGTTATCAGGTGCGGCTAACAAAGCGACATCAAAGGGTTGATCGTATTGCGGATTACGCCACAGCACTTCCGATTCGAACTCACCGTCCACGCTGCGACACACTGCCTTCGAGTTTAACTGATGGATAAATATTTTCCGCGAAAAATTATGAATTGGCGCAAAGTTTTTGACATTAATGCATGCGAAAAATATATGTATGTGCATATAAGAAATGGCGTTAGTGTTGCAAATAAATGTCAAAATTAAATGGCGTCCGTTCAAGCCAAAAACAAGAAAAAAGTCATTCAAACGGAAGCTATTTGACAGTTAAGCGCGCATTAATTACGTGCTTTTTTTTTTTAGTGCTGTTGTCTTAATTTCATATTTAAAAGTTTACATTGTATTTTTTTTTTTGTTTTGTAAAATATCTACATATATGAATATTTACCTTGAAAACAACGTGTGTGCAAGTGAGTATAAACTTTTTGTTCAATACTTTAATAAATGTGCCAGTACCTTGACTCCCGGCTGCTTCAATTACAACCATAGCACGCTCCCCTACAAAGTACAATTTTAATAACACTAAGTTCAAAATACTTATTATTACTTTCAATTACATGGAAAATTTGATGAATCTCTGGGTACGCGCATTGAAGTTATGTTTAAACCTAGTTGCTGCATGAAATCGCGCAGCAAGTACGCAAAGTTGGCCGCCAGCGTCAAATTGACATTTTCCTGCTGTCGCTGAAAGGATGTGCACATGATCATGCCTATTAAACGCCTGAAAATACAAAATTTTACACTATTGCATGGATTTCTCTATCAATGCAACGCAGACTAGCCTACAATTTGTTATTGAAGACTGCCGCACCCTCACAACCCAGCGCCAAAGCATTGGACAGCACAAAGAGACACCCATCGCGGCCCATAACATTGGAAACTTTGCCAATACTGATTGTCTTGTAGAAGTTTTCCAGGCCGAATGGTGTGCACATTACCAGCACATCGTCCAGTGTATGTATTGGCTGCAAATAACGTAGATAGTGTGCAATATGTCGTAGAAAACGTTCGAAATTCTCTTTAGCACCGTCACAGCGCATGCTTAACACAAGAAAACTAGAAAGCAGTACGGCATTATGCGTTTCGGATGCCCTATCTGTCCGATCGTTGTTCAGGAAGCGCAACACATGTCGCGAAATCTCCGCCGAGTTGAAGAGATACAATAACTTGGCGCAATATCTTGTGAGAATATGTGGCTGCTTCCGCCGCGCATTCGGCATGGGTAATTTGCGTCTATCGAATGTCACCTGATAGTTTAGCGCACTTAAATGTTTTGCCTCATCGCTACCACCTTCTTGCACATTAATTAGCTTGCATTGTTGTAATTTATGTATAATTTTTGTGTTGGGGCAGATATCTTCTTTATCGGTCTGCGTTTGAAAAGGTGCCACTGGACGTACATACGGCTGCAATATGCAACCCGATGTTATGATGATCTCATTGTTGATAATGATTGCGGACTGCTTCGTCACTGGATGATTGCTGATCTCCAGTAGTGCATGCCTGATCTTTAAGAGCATTTTTATTATGTACTTATTTTTATTTTCCAAGCTTTAGACATTAAACCTGTTTAGTAAATTCATTAGGATGTTTCTCATGAATTCGCATTCGAGTTTTACCTGTTCGCTTGTCTCTAACCATCCATGTATGTGCGTATGAATTCCAAGCTAACGCACAAAATCTAGTGCTTATAACCTCATGCAACTGTGCTGAGTTATTAACTTTGCCGTCGCAAGGTGTGCAAATATTTACTGTGCCAGTTCAGCCAATATCAGCGTGGAAAGTTTTCGAAATACCAATTTGTTGAACTAAATCACTTAGCTTCGTTATCGTATGGAGTGGCTGCAGATTGGCGAGATCAGAGTCCTATTTTTTGTTTATTTCTTTGTTTTGCTATGCTTTTCTTTTGTTCATATGTAATGAGGGATTTTCTCTGCAATTGAGGCATTTTTGAGATGATAAAAATGGAAGAAAACCCGATTACTTCTTGGAAAGTTATCGAATGTAGATATAACTTCAGTTTATTTTTTTTTAGGAAAGGGCATTATTTTTCACATCTAATTTAAAAATTATAGTTAGAAAAGAAGTATATTTACATGTAAGGGATTTCTTCTGTTGGTACATACAAGAACTTGATTTTGATTGGTTAGTTTGTACGGCAGTTAATGCTATGTACTTTTGCCTTAGATCCGTTCCAAACAGAGATCTTGGCAAGTTGAAAACTTTTCCATACACTTGATTTAATCGTTCAGTTACAGCTATATGGAATAGTAGTTCGATGTCTATGATACCAATAAATGAGCGTTGTGGGGAGAAAAAGATGAGGACAAAATTTCAGATTGATATCTGAAAAACTGAAGGACTTGTCCGCGAGTATACAGACTGAGAGACGGGCATGGCTAAATCGACTTAGCTTATTACTCCGATCATTAGTATGTATATTTAATAGGTTCTCCGATGTTTCCTTCTGGTTGCTTCATGGCAAACTTAAGATATTCTGTTCAGGGTATATATAAAGGACAGCTCCTAGCTTGTTTTATAATCCCTTGCAGTGAACTAAAGGAAGCTCGGGTAAATATTTGGTAAAAAGCGAGTTACTACCTCAAAAAGGTACAAACTAATCCATATTTTTTTATTCAACGTTTACAGTATTCTACCGATGATTAGAAGAAGTACTTGTAAAATTTATCAAATACTCCTCCTATTAACGTAAATTAAGTGGCTTACACTGTAGTCGCCAGTGAAAAATGAAACCCGACTAAATGCTTCAAAATCTTTGCTTGATTTACAAAAGTTGCTTTCAAAAAGCTCAATATTCATTCATAAATGTAGTACAAGCACACTTCCAACAAAAATTTAACACCCGCTTGTCTTCAGAGCCAATGTAATTGTAACTATATGAGGTGGAGATGCCATAAACCTGACAAAAGAGAGCTCGCAACGCTCTCACGCAGCCATATGGGTTGCTCTCAAAGTTGGCCAATTGCTAAGTGGGTGGTTGAAAGCCGCTAAGTGTACTCCATCTCATTATGTTGGAGTTGTTGCTGCTGGCCGAAGCTCCAACTCTGCTATCACTAACGGCAAAAGCCAACATAACTGGTTCAGTCATTTACGTGACGGCATTCAATTCAGTCGTTTTTAAGCTTTCGCGTTGTGCAGTCGTGTTGGACGCAGTGAGCGCTTACCAGCAGAAGAAATTGAGTTGACTGTGCGGTGTGAAAGAATAAGCTGCAATTATAGTTAGTGCCGGAATCGGAAGAAGAAAGAATTTAATTCGCCATAAAAGTGCTGATGTGTTTTATAATTTTTAGAAGTGAAAAATTGTCAAAGTTTTAAGTACAATAAACGAGTTTGCTGCCTTTGAGCTGGTGAAAAAAGGTGCGCCACACACATAAACCACGCGAGAGCCGTCTTCTCCTTGCAGCAGTTCCACAAGAATATTCTGGTGTAGCCACAAAGCAAAAAATTAAACAACAGCAAGGGCATATAAAAATAGCTACAATAGGTTAGATTTTATTTTAATTTATTTTCACACTTTTGTAACTATGAAATAGTATAAAGAGTATAAAATGAGGGGTTGTAAAAATATTAATTGCGCCTAAAACGTCGATGATACGATATTTTACCCTTTAGGATAGGCGAAAAAGTTTCCTTTGCATCCTGTGAAACCTGCTCCACCTCATAGGCGCTCTCTCGCACGCAATTCGCACCATTTCCGCTTTTCTATGCACACTCCCTTGCTCTCTTTCGTTATTCCGGTGTGTCGTTTGTGATAGCTCTCACTATGCTCTTGTGTAGCACCCCTACCAGTGAACTTTGTGTCGGGTGGGACACCATATGCGGCCTATTATCACTTTTTCCCGCTCAAAATGTTCATAAWCTACAAACAACAACAACAAGCAGGTTGACGACCGAAAACGTAAATAAATGCAACAAACGTTGTTGCAGTGCTCTCCACCCCCTTTTTCTACTTTCTGTTGGTTTTGGTTTTGTAATTTTTTACCGTAATGTAATAGTAATAGTACGCGAATGCAAGTGCCGGCTCTGGGCCGCTTTTGCTGCCCTTTTTAATGTTGTTGCAGTTCTTTTTGCGTGCGGAGGTTGCCAAGAGTGCGTTGCATAATTTTGTTCGCAGGCTGTGTTGAGTGAATTTATATTTAAATGATGTTTTTCGGTGAAGAATTATTTTTGCATAAATTTAAAAAATAAAATAAAATTTAATGATAATGATAGTGATAAAATAAATATTTCTTCACATT